CCACCAGCATACCAGGGTCGGCACTGCGGGAACGACAGTGCTCTCTCCCCCTTGCAGCCTCGCGTGCAGCTTCCTATGTGCACATGCGCACGACAGACAACAGTCAACAAACACCTCGCTGCTGGAACTGTGAAGCGCACAGTTCCATACAAAGATTTGGCTACTGACATTAAGTTTAGTTAGTTAGTTATTGGAGAGGGTGGGTTTCCCCATGCACTCAGACCGGTATTGGTTCATTGTGCGTCCCTCTGTGATATTCTACCAGTACTGGTGCGTGCCATCAGTCCTGACCCAGCCAGCGAGTTTGGCCTCTACTGGCTCAGCGGTATCTCGATGCTTCCCCCATCTACCAGAGGCGTTAGAGACTACTGTTGGGCGGGAAATGTCCTGAATTTGGCTCAGCGGTCCCCTTGGGACATGAGGTTCTTTTATGTGCCATAAAGCTACGACACAGGACCCACGGCTTAAAGTCCCTCCCAGAGGACTTGTTCCCTGAATTTTTCCGCCCTTAAAAATTCCACAACCTCCACCGGGTTTGAACCCACGTACCTTGAGTCACGAGGTGGGAACGTTACCCCTAGACTATGGAGGCCGCTGACATTAAGCTTAAGGATTATATATTGTATTGTACAAGTATAAAGAAAGATTTAAAGGAAAAAGGACTCATATAAATGTTATCGATAATATCAAGTGGAAATTGGGGGTGCTGCAGTTCCACAGTGCCTATATGTGGGCCGCCCCTGATTCTTTGTAAATTTGCAAATACAACAATTTGATGGTGCTGACCTATTCCCAGACTTGTTTTGAAGTGTCCTCTGTGGTTCCCTGAATCACATCACACGCAAGCATGCGGGTAAGAGGAACGCATACTCTTTGATCAAGCACATCTTTCTCTTACAAGAACGAAATGGAGCCTGGCTATCAGACAGCACAGAACAAAATATTTCTTGTCCTTAAAGTCAGATTAAACTTCCACTTAAATTAGCAATAGCCACCTTCTGGGATTTTATAAGGGAGGTGTATGGGTGATGAAAGGTTGGACTTGTAGAATGATTTGAGGCTAACTACTGTTAACTGTGCTGGTGGAACCCAGGAATGTATAATGAGGGTGAGTATTTGGATGCCAATGGGATTTTGTGATATGGACTACCTATAAGATTTCAGTTGGGTTCTAACTTTAAACGCGGGTTTGATGGGCTGGCTCAGGTAAGGTGGGCACATGACTGTTTGCCAGGTGTGATAGCAAGCTATAAATTGGAAGGAGGGGGGGAGCAGGAGGTCATGTTCCTTCATTCTATTGACAAAATTAAACTGGGTATACACTCGATGTATGTCCTATTAGTAAGTCAGATATGATAACTGCAAGCACCAGGGTGCTCACAATCACCACACTGGTGATCCTTGCTCTAGAGATAACCGGGAAAGGACTCTTCACCATCTAGTCACCAGAGTGGAGTTGTTTCGTGCGGACAGTAACTGACTAAGAAACATATGGTGATGATTAAGGCAACAGGGAGCTTAGATACATTTTTCAAATCTGCCTAGAAATGGCACAGACAACTTACCTCATGTTCAGCCTTTATTATGGGCACTGGTAGCAGCAAAGGGTCCTCCTCCTCTTGTATATCTGAGAGTTCCTCAACTTTTATATCCTGAGTCATTACACATATCTCACTACATGAACCAGGTACCACTTCCACTAGATCCCTGCAGTTCTGTAAAATCACCAAGACACCTATCTGTCAAACACATATTCGCTCATAACAAGATGTTACACAGTTTAATTACAGTTGCATTTAACTGCATCAACTGTAGCTTTTTGTAATGCAAAAATAAGGTTACAAAGTTTTAATGGATATTAATTCATTATGTTACATGGCAAGTAAACAGGGAACCTAACAATGAAACAGTCACGAGGTTGGGGCATATCACAAACAGGCAATCTTAAGCAACCCTGAAAACCACTAACAAACAAAAGCGAAATCATAATCAAACTACAAGTACATACAAAATATAAATTCAGCAGTTTTTTGTTGATTTCCAGAAACCACACTCCATGCAGCAGAGTCGTCAGTGACAGGCTACTAGTAAATAAGATCTAAAAGTTTGTGACAAGGGTAAATTGTTTCAATTAATATGTTGTTGGACATTATCCATCATTTTCCCCATTAAAAAAAAGGATGGTTTTTTAAGAATAGAAAAGATGGTGGATAATGTCCAACAACATATTAATTGTAAGCTGCTAGTAGCTTAGCTCATTAACAGAGTCCCCATCCTTTATGGAACCAAAATTTAAGGAGCCTCCTACTCCTCCCCCCTTCAGAGAACAACATGCCCACTACTCACCGTAATATCAACCTTCTTAGAACAAAATGTAATAATACCTTCCATCTATGCCTAGGTCTCTTAAGTAGTCCCTTTCATTCAGATTTTCTACGTAAAATTTTGTATTCATTTTGTATCTCTCCCATGTTCCCCAATTTCTCTTTCTTCAATACACCATCCTAACAATGTTTGTTAATGAGCATTAATTACGAACCTCAAAATTATGCAACCATCTCCATCATTCCTCCTCTTGTGCTCAAATATTCTCTTCAGCACACCGTTCTCGAACACCCTGAATCTATGTTCATTCCTCAATGTTGGAGAATCAGTATCTTCTTAGCCATTCAAAAGAACAAGCAAAACTAGTTTTGNACATTAATTACAAACCTCAAAATTATGCAACCATCTCCATCCTTTCTCCTCTTGTGCTCAAATATTCTCTTCACTCAAACACCCTGAATCTATGTTCATTCCTCAATGTTGGAGACTCAGTATCTTCTTAGCCATTCAAAAGAACAAGCAAAACTAGTTTTGTATACCCTATAATCTTCATATCTCGATTATAACATTGGAAGAGAAAATATTCTGAACTGAACAGCAGTAAGGATATCCCAGACTGAATCTGCTCTAAATAGTTTTGTGAATGTAATCCTGGTCCATGACTGCCATTATACAATTCTATCCAGCCTCCTATTTCATCCTTTGAGTCCAAATATTCTCCTCAACACCCTGTTCTCAAACACCATCACTTTATGCTCTTCCCTAAACCCCATAGACAAAGTTTCATACCCACATAGAACCACAGAAAAAATTACAATTTTGTACTTTCTGATTTTTATGTTTCTAGACAGCAGATGAGAAGACAAAAGGTTCTGGACTGAATGGTAGCAAGCTTACCAGAGTTCAGTCTCCTCTTAATTTCCTCCTGAATCAGGTTTTGATCACTGTCATTCCCAAATATTTGAACTGTGTCACATTTTCAAACGATCTGCTCGCTACCTTTATATCATTATTTTGTCCTGCATTCTGGTCATGAGACAGCAATGTGTACTTAGTATTCTCTGTGTTTACTTGTAGACTGCCGTTCATGGTAGCCAAGCGGTGTAAGGCATGTACTGTCTTCGCTCGCTCGGAAGCCGGGATCGTGGGTTCGAATCCCACTCAGGGCATGGATGTTTAGTTTGTGTGTGTGCGTTTTTCTGTGTTTATGTACAGGTAGAGGCCTTGCAAAGAGCTGATCACCCGCCCAAGGAGTCCTACCGTATGTATATGATCTTGAAAAACCGAAGTGAACGGAGAAGTTCATGGAGGTAGGCCTACGCCCACTGTGGCTGTAGTGCCAACAAAAAAAAAAAACTTGTAGACTAACCTCCTTACTAGAGCCAATTAAAGTTTCTGTGTCTTTCTTCATGGTACCTATGTTATTTTCGAGTAGATTCACATCACCAGCATAGACCAGCAGATGAATTGTCCCGTTTAATTTCAGTCCCACCTGGTTTCCCTGGACGTTCCTAATGGCATATTCTAAAGAAAAATTGAAAAGGAATGGCAATAAAGCATCCCTTGTTTTAAACTATTTTCAATAAGCAATGTATTGAACAAACGTTTACCTCCATAAATTTTACCACAGCTTCTCTTGAAGTCTACAAATAGCTCATGTACTCTCACTGTACTCCCACTTTCTCCAATATCTGAGAATGCAAAAGATCTGATCTGGACTTAACCTTGAAAGAAGAATATTGGACAAAATTTTGTATGAAGTTGATAGCAGTGATATCCCAAGATAATTACTACAGTCGGTTTTATCACCCTTCTTGTGAACTGGTACATAATCTACTCCTACCGATCAGGCAACTTTTCCTTATTCCAAAAAGAATTTATGGATCATAGGAAACTAATATTTCACCTCCTGCTTGAATCTGTTCTGCTGGAATTTGATTACCAGGCAGTTTATATTTTCAACTCTGCAATAGCAATTTCAACCTCAAAAGGGCTAGGATAAGGTACTAACAGCTCAACTGTATGGATTTCTGTCTGCCTAACTTCACTGACCCTGTGTACATTTAATAACTGAGAGAAGTAGTTCATCCGCCTATTCAAAATGTTGTAGAAATCTGCAAGCAGATCAGCACTCTCATCCTTCACTAATTTACTTCTAGGTTTGTAACGCATCTTAAATTAATTTATTCCTCTATACAGGTCTCCAATATTCTTGCTCTTAGTGTCTGTTGCAAGCTCATTAATTTTGTCTTTTAGAAATTCCCTCATTTTGTTACTGAAGTATCTGTTAGCTTCATGTCTTACATTTTTCAGGTTATCTCCATTTATTAGGCTTGGGTTCTGCAACCACTGCAATTTTTCCTGTTCCCTTCAATCTAATAGTTTTGAACATTCTTTGCCATACCATTTCTTATATCACTGCAATTCATAATAACCTAAGCTCTCTTTGGCTGAAATTTTCATATTCTATCTAATTATTTTCTAACGATTTCCTGATATCCACGTCATAATCTAAGTTCACCAAGGCTGTGAACTGTAAGCAGGAACTGATACCTAAATACTGTCACATGATACACTGACTAAAAAAAAAAGACTAAAAAAAATGCTATCCGTGTAGCTCCATAGGGTTGTGAGACGTTGAGTGTCCCTTAGCCCCCAGGAAAATTATTTAATTCCTGGTACTCATTTCTGTTAGAGGCTGAGTCGACACCAGGGCCATAGTGCAGCTGGAAGGATTAGGTAAACTGAAAAAATCCAATGACCTCATCAGGACTTGAACCCGTGACCTTCTGGCTTGTAGCATAGCCCCTCAACCAACTACGCTACCGTGTGAGGATCTGGGTTGGTAATTGGATATACTGAACACTTACAGAATATAGATACAAGTAACTATAGTGCTGTCACTNAGGACTTGAACCCACGACATTCCGGCTTGAGCATAGCCCCTCAACCAACTATGCTACCATGTGAGGATTTGGGTTGGTAATTGGATATATTGAACACTTACAGAATATAGATACAAGTAACTATAGTGCTGTCACTAATTCACACACTCTACAATACAGTACAGCATGTACAAAGTCTTCTTAATCTTCTGTGTTTTCAACAGTCTGAATTTATTCGCCCGTACAGCAGCTGTCCCGAAGATTCCAGCCTCTGGGTGATGTTCAATCACCAGCAGTGCTGATAATATTTCTTCCACTATTCGTAGATATGAGATCCTTTTCTCGGGGGTACAGATGTTCAGTGACCGGGATTGGAATGCCCTTTGGGAGCTATGAATCACAGGATTACCAGAACATGACATCGTGTATTTCTAGCGTTTAGTTAAACTATGAGCAGAGTGATTATTGTATGTTATACTAATCCTCCCTTAAGCTTGCACCTTATCGATTACATTTCCGTGACTATTATCGCTTTTACTCCCGATATCACCAACCTTTGTACACCATCGTCATCACTTTCCAATCCTCTTGACCATCATCCTTTTCATTCTCTGTTCAACAGCATGCCTCTCATGACTACATCACCTACCCAACTACAGAACTGAAAATCTCACTCCCCTCACTACTTACTGTATATGACACCAACTGTAACTAACTGTAAGCCCTCCATATCCAACTGGGCCTAACTTTATCCAACTCCAACTGTCACTAAATGTCCTTCCCCCAGCCGAGACTTATTTTATAACATCCAGATAGCTCCGAGTTACAAGCCCCTAAGTGGTCATTAATAGAAACGGGAAATGGCCAAGGTCCGATACTGGGAGCCTGTCCCGCATTTGGTTTGACGAGATTGTTTATCTTAAACCCTCTTTTCATGTTTCAAGGTACAAGCGCTATTTCTTTATGACCCCTCAGGGCACGTTTTGCTGAGCATCAAATCCCAGACTGATTCCCAAAATATCTCCCTAGCACAACAGAAGATAATATTTAAAACAAACTGATGAAGTTAATGACAATGGTGGTGCCACGCAGAGGATACAAGACTCAAGAGAAACGTGTGAGCCTGTCTCCATGACTACCATTGTTGTTAAAAGCCCAACGGAGGATCGTATTGAATGACAATTAGATGCCTCAGGTATGCCTCTCATTCTCATGGGGAAAATAAGTGGCACTGTCAGAGCCACAGTTAAACACCAAGGCCGTGAAGTGTAAGCAGGAATCCATACCTAAATACTATCATATGATACAGTGATTATATATGGGATTTGGTTTGGTAATTGGATTTAACACTTACAGATCATGACTATAAGTAACTATAGTGTTATCACTAATTCACACTCTACAATACACTACAGTATGTACAAAGTCTTGTTGGCCGCACCATAGCTCAAGCGGTTAGTCGTTGGCTTCCCACCGCGGCGGCCCGTGTTCGATCCCGTGTCTGG